AAGAGGGCAGTGTCACTGGCCCTCATATGTGGGATCCGAACTGGGGCCCTCTGGCATCCCAAGCCAGTATCTTAACCAACGCGCCACCAATGCGCCATTCAGCCGGCCCCTTGTCAAGAATGTTTGAAATCACCACCTGTTAGCTAAATGAAACCTATGTGAGTGCTTGAATTCAATTTAAGTAGACAGTTTCCAGTTTAAGTCAAAGAAGTGAAAAATTTAAAAAGAAGCTATGTATTTCAGCCAAAAAAAAAAAAAGAGGAAGGGAGATACTTTCATTTCATTCCACTTTAGAGGTGGTGAACCTTTTTTTTTTTTTGAAGTACACATAAGGTTTTATTTTTGTTCAGTGTTCTTTACTTTCCATTGTGAAAAGTTATTTCTGAGGAACTAAATCCCAGAAGGTAACCAAAACAAAAACATGTTAAATGATTTTTTTTTGAAGATGATTATTCAAAGGCAGACTGGTAGAGAAGTCATAGAAAGTATATGCAGCCTCTGAAGGGAATGGTTCTAATTATTACCTAAAAAAGTAATTTTGTGCAACTACATTCAAGGGAGCAAGACAGAACTACTTTAAAACTAGAATGACTGAACAGATGGGTGAAAAACACAGCTGAAATAGGAAAGGGAAGTGGACTTAAGAATAATTCGAATTCCTAGAAGCCTCATTCCTAGATGCTTCTGTTATCTAAATATCTTGAATCACATTGTTTTCTTTTTTATCTCCCATACCATCTTCACTGAAATCTCAGCAGTATTCTCACAGAACTAAATAATAGTTGTCATTTTGTTGGGATTCAAAATTTCAATCCAGTAGCCATCAGGATCTTGAGTAAATGCCAGACCTTTCATTTTACCTTCAGGAGATCATCTGGGTTGTGAAGGACTGGATCTGGCCTTCCCCTCTGTTCGCATTGCCTGTGGACTGTAACAGCTAATCGATGCAGGAAATAAACCCTCATCGTCAGGTTTCTTCACAAATTTGACTCCTAGTTCTTCAGATCTTTTACAAGCTCCGTGTACATCAGGAACAGCAATTCCAATGTGACCATATCCTCGAGGGTCTGAATTGCCACTGTGATAACTCTGGCTCTCATCATCTTCAGTGCCCCAGTTGTGTGTCAGCTCAAGCGTAGCTTTTCTGGAGAATACCCATGCTACTTTTTCATCTTTTTCTTTTGGGATGTCATTTTTATCCTCATAAGCCAAGAAGTAGAGTGAAAACTTCATAGTGGGAAAATCGAATTTTTGTAGTTGTGTCATTCCAAGAATTCTAGTATAAAAATCCAGTGACTTCTTAGGGTCCTTAATTCTCAACATGGTCTGCTGCAACAGAAAATCCTTAGTGCTTCGGTCCGGGTCCGAGCAGCAACCGAGGGCAGCCTGGTCGGTATGGCCGCCAGACACGGGCTGCGGTTCTGCCATGGCCGTGCTGCTGTATCACCGTCAATCGTCCCCAACTACACGGTAGCCACTCATTATCGGCCCAGCTGTGCTGCCCTTACTAGCGACGGGGCGTCTGTGCTGCGAAGCCGCTGACTTCCAGCCAATAGCTGAAGGTGGAGAACCTTTTAATTGGGGAGGACAGTTATTTGTGTAGTAGCACTTTTTGTATTTCAGTTACTAAGTACTTTAATGAGCTGAACAATGATAAAAATTCTAGGACAAAGCATGTAAATTACTATAACTTAGCTCTTCCAATTTGAGACTTACATCTTGAAGTATGTGGGATGGTTACTGACTGATCTGACCTTCACTCTTTAGAATCGTTACCATGGGACACATAGTTCATTTTTCTTGGTTAA